CTTGCACTTCTCCTTGTCGTTGCCCTTCTGTGCTCTGCATCCAGGACTGACTGCCCAAATCTGTGGCATATGATTTGGCCGTCGTTTAAGATATAGAAGTTGTTGGAATCGCTGCTGAAATGGTCCAGATCGCTCACTATGCTTCGGTTTCACGAGTGAGATGAGCCACGCCTCTCGCGGTACTGACCACGGTGGAACAGCTCGTCGTGCTTTAGCCTTGAAAAGTCGATTCAGAATACCGTGGTAGTCCTCCTGCGCTCCGACGTAGTAGGGGCGCCCATCAATGCGAGTGTTCTGCGTGCCGTACTGAGCGATGGCGCGTTCGGCAACTGGTTGGGTCGCCGCTGGCGCATTGTCGTGAGCCTCGTGCAGGTTGCGACGTCCTAGAAACCCGGCGGCATCATCTCCAGCACCCCTTTCGGCCTCATGAGGCACACCGTCTATCTGGTCTCCAGTTAATGTGTTCGGCGACGAGGCTCGGTGCTGCACATGATTGGATCTGATATCTGAGTCCAGTGACTCAGATATACTTCCAGCGTTATCTGAAAACCAACAGCGCCATCGGAAATACCTTCGGCATCCGCTTCGGGCCGTTGGCGAAGTTGAAGTTGACCAGCGTGAAGTCGGATGTGCTCGGAGCGCTCCTCCGTACCGGTGGGGGTCGCCATCGCTTGCTCCAATATACTAGGTGTGTCTGCTTGACTTCCAACACTGGTAGCGCGAGCCTGCATGCCACCGTCAGGTCCTGATTGTCCCATGTGCGTAATCCACCTTTCGATGGTAGGAGGGTGCGTGGCCGTCAGCTGAAACCGCCTCTGCTTGGGACCCAGGCGAGTGCCTGCAATCAACCGAGAGAGGATCCATACCTGATGCCAACCATTGTTCTGCTGTGCCTGCTCAAGTTCAATTGACCAAGTATCTCGCATGCGTCGAGAATCTCGCCGTCGAAATCATCGAATATATTTCTGAAATAGCTTACACTTATCCCGCATCTCTTGAGTTACATGATCTGCTGCCTGTAGTCGTGCGCGAGCTTCTCTGTACTTCTCCCGTACCCTTGCTGTGCTGGTATCCTCCCCTCTGCGAGTCTGCCCAGGGTGTCGTGTAAAGCATGTCTCTGCATGCTCACGAAGTCCTGCTGGAAGAAAATGCCAGTGACCATCAACATCTTGGGTGTCCTGAAATGTACGGATCTGAGCCAAGCTATCTGTATGAACTGCCCATGCATCAATATCTCGTAGAAAACCGTCATATAGTGGACCACCTTTGAGCCATGCCTGCATATATCTGTCGTAATCCCACATACAAGTCGCTTTTGTTGAAGAATCATGCCCGGAACAAGACAAAAAATCCACCACCAAGGGAGCGTGGTCAGCATTACCTTTGGCATGGGAGAGTTGTAGGTGTCGTCCAGCACGTCGCCAAACACGTGGCGTCTGAACTTGGGCCATCATGGCTTTCGGCACTGCGATATAGTCTATCCGTGACGTGGTCGAACCTCGAAAATACGTGGCACCATATCCCTCCTTAACATACGTATTAGCTAGACACATATGGTGTGTGTTCAGCATCCTGCGCCAGTGTGGGGCATGCGGATCCTCATTAGCAGCCCCTCGGGGGCCAAACGCGTCCTGCCGACTCGTGTTGTGCATGTGTATCCATTGACCTCCCACATTCTGAAGCCCACAGTGAAAGTTCCCGTCCATTAAGATCGGGGTACATCTGGCAGGAAGCTGAGAAATAACCTTGCTGATCCAGTCTATGAGAGCTTGGTAATGTTTTCGATCCGCTTCCGACATTGGCAACAGCATTCCGTACGCCGTGATAAAACAAAATTCGTAGTGGCCCCTCCAGCGATACCGAACGGCTCCCCTTTCGACCCTGGATCTGATCTGGCGGACACCATGCTTGCAAGAAACGGTGCCTGCGGAACTCCTTCGCGTCAAGTGCTAACATGCATCCAGTGCGTGTGTTCGTGTCGTCAGTGTTCTTGCTCCGTTCCTGCGTTCTCTGTTTTCTCGTAGCCGACGTGGGCCACTGCCAGACAACATACTTTCCCACACGGGGCGATAAAACCTTCAGAGACCCATCAAATGATGCCCTCGCCATCGCCTGCCCTGTACCAATAAGACTTAACACATGGCAGGTATCTAGGCCGTCCAGAACCTCCCGAAGCCCTCGACGCAATGGTCGCGCTTGGGGGTTATACTGAGCAGCTCTGAGACGGATGGCCTGGGGCGGGACCGAAGGCTGCGCTGATGTCATCAGAGTCGGTCCCAAGAAGATGTAAGCGAGAAAAGCAACCATCAACCTGAGAACCCGCGTGCCTCGTAAAAAAAGTAAAAAAAAACGGTGAGTGCGCAAGATGCCAGAAAGAAAGGAGAGGCTTGCACCAGTATGGCATCTAGGAGGAGGAGGAGGAGGAGGAGGAGGAGGACGGGAGGACGAGGAAGACGAGGAAGCCGAGGAGGAGGAGGATGAGGAGGAGGAGGACGAGGAGGAGGAGGATGAGGAGGAGGACGAGGAGGAGAAGGACGAGGATGAGGAGGACGTGGAGGAGGAGGACGAGGAGGAGGGGGAGGAGGAGGAGGAAGAGGAGGAGGAGGAGGAGGACGAGGAGGAGGAGGAAGAGAAGGAGGAGGAGGAGGCGGAGGAGGAGGAGGGGGATAAGGAGGAGGAGGACGAGGAGGACGAGGAGGAGGAGGAGGAGGATGGGGGAGAAGGAGGGACCCGATCTCCTCGACTCCCTCCGATCCCGCGTGGTACGGAGTCGCCCGCTCGGCCCCTGCCAACTCCTCCTCGCCGCCGGCAGCAGGGGAGGCACCGTGAAGAGTGGCGAACTGTTTGCGGAGCAGCCTGACCATGGACGGCGCGGCCAATAGGCCCGACTCCGCGCCGTCGCGAACGGGACAAGATCGGCTGGCAGAGCCGCGGGCAGCGGCGACAAGGACTCTAGCTCCAGTTCGTTAATGTCCAAGTCGATCACCAGGACGGAATCCGTGGTGGCCAGCGCGCGGGAGGCTGCCCCGAAGAGGGGTACGTCCAACACCAGATACGGGCCCAGCAACCCAGAGAAGCCCTCCGCCTCCACGGCCGCCAGGTCGGCAGCCGAGCGGAAGGATGAGGGAAGAGCAAGCAGTGCGCCACCGTCTCGCTACGCATGTGGCATAGCGGCGAAGCTGCGGGCGGCCCCCCTCGTCGAGACGCCACCTGGCGTAGCTCGTCGCAGATGGCGTCTCGGAGGGATGCAACTCGGGCCACACGGGGCCCTCTGGAAGCGCTGGCATGGCAACCATCGTATCCAGCGTTCAGGGGCAGACGCGCCCACCGAGCCTCGCGTCGGGTCCGCAGCGGAGCCGACGACGCGCCCGTGGCGGAGGAGCCCGCGCGGGCGGCTCGAAGGCCGACCCGAGGGGCCTAGCCCCGAAGCGGCGACGCGGGCCGAAGGCCCGACGCCACCGAGCCGCGCAAGGCGACTTGGGGGCCAGGGCCGCAGGCCAGGGCCCGAGCGGGGGCCCTCGCGGGCTCCGGGGTAGGCGCGCCCAGCGCGCGACGAACGCGAGCCAGGTAAGGGCCCACGCAGCGGACCGCCAGGCCCGCGAGACAGCAGCCTCCGCAGAAGCTGCAGCAATCGGTCACTCCCAAAAGCGAGAGGACCGTCGCGAGCAGCAGGGGAGAGACCCCGCCGCTCAAGTCCACCGCCAGCCCGACGCACACGGTGGGACAGGAGCTGGAACCCTCGGGAGCAGGGCACTCCGCCGCTGCTCCGAGGCCCGCCGGCTGAGACGGCCAAGAGGACCCGAATGCTGGGGCCTCCTGGTCCGTCAGAGGCAGTGGTCGGCTAGCGAGCCGCTCGAAGAACGCGGCGCGCAGACCCTGGTGCAGCACAGCACCGCTCGCCTCCACCAACAGCTCAACGGCGCGCTGCATCAGCGGGCCGCGGGCCGAAGGGGGGGAGCGGCCACTGGGCCGAAACATTGCAGAGACCGCGGGGGGGAGGTCGCAGAGAATATGAAAAGCAGGAGGAAGAAAAGGAGGAGGAGGAGGAGGAGGAGGGGGAGGGGGAGGGGGAGGGGGAGGGGGCGGAGGATGATTGACCGTCGAGCACGATCACGGGGGGGGCGCCGAGCGTGCACCCCTCTGAGAAGGCGCAGCGGGCTCGTCAAGATGGCCCTGTGCCCCTGGGGCTCCTGACAGGGCGCAACGCCCCCGGAGCACTTCCAGAGCATCGCACACAGCGTGGATTCCAGGAGGTCTCGACCCATTCCTCAGAGGCTGGCTCTCTTCATCCCGGGCCGTCGTCGGGACCCCAAATCCGTGCGGTGACGGACCGCGTGGTGACCTCGAAATGCCCAACGACCTCTACACTTATGTTGCTCCTATTGTAACAGAAAAATGTCGGGAAAGTGTCGGACGAGTGTCTCCCAGGGCCCGACACGTGAAAACCTTCGAGTTTTGGGTACTTTTCTGGTGCTCGAAATTCTTTCTGGTGGTCAATGCGAAAGTAGGTTGGAATATCACAACTCTACACGCGGTCAGTCACGACACAGTGCCTGGGAGCCTCCGATCGTGCCTGGGAGCCCCCGATCGTCTTTCTGCGGTCTGGCGGCCCGGCGAGGGCTCCGCAGAGGACGAACAAAAACGCGACAGCACCTTTAGGTCGGGCATGTCCCCCTACAGGCGGATTTTGGACGAACAATCAAAGATACCCCCCAAATGCTCAAAAATATACAAAAAATGCTCAAAACATCGTCCCTGGACTATCTTTTGACTATTTTGGAATGTCCCCCCTGTAGAGGGACAGGCCCGACTCGACAGCACCTCCACAGTGCCTCCTTCGAAGCGCTGGAGCTGTTGCCTCTGCGCGCCACTGATCCTGGCCCACCGCGGCCCGGGCCACCGCGATGCACGCGGCAACCGCCTGCGGCGCCGCCTGCTGCACGAGCTTCCCGGGCGCGCTCGAGGCCGCCGCGAGGCAGGCCAGCTGCGCCGCGCCGTGCGGCGCCGCCCCGGCCCGCGCCACCAGCGCGGCCAGCGCCGCGCCCGATGCGTCCACGGCCAGCAGCTGCCGCAGGGCACTCAGCTCCGCGGCCGACGGCGCCGCCTCGGCCGCGCACAGCGACGCCAGCAGCGGCTCGGCGAAGCTCGCGGCGGGGCCCGCCGCGAAGCAGCCTGAGCATCGCTGGACCGATCCCTGTCCCGACTGGTGACCCACAGGCCCCACTGGCCGATCTGCCCCCGGGATAGGGGATGTCGGATGGACGAGGGGGCCTGTCCCCCACCGGGTCGGGGGGACGGTGGGGCCGAGAAGCCACGGCCCGGTGGGGATGGGGACCGGTTGAGCGATGCTGACGGCCAGCGGCGGCGGCCCGCACGCACTCGTCGTCGGAGCACAGCGCCCCGCGGGCGGCGTCGACCAGGCCCTGCGCGCGCAGGGCCTTGTGGCCGCCCCCGGCGCCGCTGGCGCGGAGGGCCTCGGCGAGAGCCGAGCAGGCCGACCTCTGCGTCGCCGGGTCCCCGGACTCGAGCGCCTCCTGGATCCTTGCGCCGCCAGCATTCGGTCGGACATGTCCCACTAGAGGCGGATTTTGGAGGGAAAAACAAGAAATAGTCAAAAAAATGCCCCCGAATGGGCAGACAATCATCGAAACATCGTCCCCCGACTATTTTTTGACCATTGTTGAATTTCCCTCCCGTAGAAGGACACGCCCGACTTAACGCCAGCATGTCATGGTCATGTCTACCGCCGCGGGGAGCGGTGGATGTGGAGACCTGTCCGCCCATGCGAGCGGGCAGATACTACCCTTGATTATCCGCCACTCCTCGAGGTCCCAGCCCAAACATGCGATGTTCCGACTTGTTCAGTGCGGGCCCCCCAGAAATCCCGACTCTTTCCACGGGAGCGGGGCAGTCGTTGTGGGCAGTCTCGGGTCCTCGTAGGCGCCCCCCGAGGACCAAGACGACCCAAACCTTCCACTGTTTTTCAGGACGCGGGCCTGACTGGGAGATCATACGACTCCGAAGCGGTAGATATGGACGCACTCTGGCGATGGAACCCTGAACCAACAAACCCTGCCACCTCTTGGGAGGCCGACTCTTACTTCCGCCGGCCTTCCGCTCCGACGGAGGCGGCCTCGCCTCAGTCCCGCCGCCTCCCGCCGAGGAAGAGATGCCAATACTCCACGACACTCCTTCGACCTTCGAACGCGAGAGAACCCGTCTGGCATGCCTCCCCTGGCGAGTGGCATCCTAGACCCCCGACGTCATGGTTTTCCATGACGTGGACCCCCAGAGGTCCCGACCGATTCCCCGGGACCAGCTTTTCATCCCGAATCGATTTGTTGACGGTCCTGAGGCCCGGCAAGGGCCCCCAGAGGCCGAAGGCAGCGAAAAACTCACCGATGACCCGAGGGGGTCTGGGGAGGAGGAGGAGGAGGAGGAGGAGGAGGAGGAGGAGGAGGAGGACGAGGAGGAGGAGGAGGAGGAGGAGGAGGAGAAGACCTTTCATGACCCGAGGGGGGCTGGGTCTGCCGGTGGCATCCTGGGCCCCAGGTCGTCGAACACGCCGCCGGCCCCGCCGGCTTCAAGCCGCGCGTGCAGCAGCGCTGCCGCCCGCCCGGCGTGCGCCGCCGCGACGGCCTCCACGCCGCAGGCGTCGGCCGCCAGGCGCTGAAGCAGGCGCGGGCGCAGGTCCTTCAGCTGCTTGCCCGGGGTCCCCTGCGCCGAGTCCGTGGCCGCCCGCCAGGCCTCGTGTGCGAGCGACCTCCTCCTCCTCGTCCTCGTCCTCCTCCTCCTCCTCCCTCCTCCTCCTCCTCCTCCTCCTCCTCCTCCCCCTCCCCCTCCCCTCCTCTCCTCCTCCTCCCTCCTCTCCTCCTCTCTCTCCTCGTCCTCCTCCTCCTCCTCTTCCTCCTCCTCCCTCCTCGTCCTCCCCCTCCTCGTCCCCCTCCTCCTCCTCCTCCTCCTCCTCCTCCTGCTTGCCCTTCTCCTCCTCCTCCTCCTCCTCCTCCTCCTCTTCCTCCTCCTCCTCCTCCTCCCCAGACCCCCTCGGGTCATCGGGGAACTTTCCGCTATTTTCGGCCTCTGGGGGCCCTCACCAGGCCTCGAGACGGTCAAATCGGGATGACCTCTGGGGGCCCATCTCATGAGAAAATCCTGACGTCGGTGGTCTGGGGAACGAGGGAGGGATCAGAGAAGCAGCCCTGCCCGAGATCGGCAGGATGCGGGCGTCAGGATGGCTTCCCCTCTGAGGCTTAGCAGTGTCAACACCCCAGACGACATGAGGCAGCGCATGGGGAGCGGAAGGAGGTGAGACGAGGTACGCGCCCAAGCCTTCTCCGCGGCCTTCCGCGCGGGCGCGGAAGCGTCCGCCTGCCCGAGCACGATGGCCGCAACCAGGCTGCCGCGCGCCTCGCCCGCGCACTGCCGCCGCGGCAGCAGTTCGCAGGCGACCTCCGCGCCGATCGCGCGCGCCCGCGCGTCGCCCATGCGCAGCACCTGTGACAGATACCGCTGCTCCCCGGACCTCTCCCGGGGTCCGTTCTGACCAGAACTTCGAGGCGATACCGGCCATTGAGGCGAAGACCTCCAGGGAGGCCCAAGAATCATTCATTTAGAAGCGGGGGTGACTGCTGCGGGGGGGGGGGCGACCGCTGATTCCCTGCAGAATCTTGAAGAGATGCCGAACGGCACCATTCAAGACTTGATCCATGCTTCTAGCGGTTCTCAAGGCGCAGATGTGCCACTTGGAGAATCAATGGCCACTGTTGGGCGAAGGGCCGTCAAGAAACCGACGCGAGGACGGTTGTTTGGGCACTGCGTCAAACTGTTTAGCAAGCAGGAGGAGCTGAGTAAAAGCACAAAGATCGGCGGTGGACCAACCTCCCTTTAGTAAACCACCCTTTTGTGAAAACGGCCTGGGACCGGAACCGACGGACCTGGACCCGCAAAAATGACGGCCGCGACGCCCTCTCGCGAACCGAAAACGGCCAATTCGCTAATCAACGTGTCAGGGTAGGAGGTCTATCAAACTCCGAAAAGAGGTGGTCACCCGAGCGTGGAGCAATTCTTTTTTTTCGCATCCACTGTCGGTGTCGTGTGCAGCTGGGCATCGGTATGATTGTGTTGCTGCGCCTTCGTCCGCGGGCCAGTGGTCGCTTCAATGACGCAAGCCCGCTCGCATCGCGGTCGCGACCCCGTCCAAAATTCACGCGCGTGGAATGGAAGCGCACCTTTGACAACGACCTGCCTGGCGGCGCCGGCGCCGCCCATCACCGCGGGCAAATCTATCTGGCTGACGGAAAGCTGGTGCACGCAGGCTGTCCTCGCGCGACGGTCGCGGGAGAAGCACAGCATTGAAAACGGCGCGGGCGGCGAACATGCGCGACTTGAACAGGTCGCCCGGGCGAAGCGCAGCCGCCTACGAAAGCTGAACTGCACTGCGCGCCAATGCCCTCAAGGGGCCACAAGCCTCGACGACATCCATTTTTGTTGCATCTGGATGTGGCATCGGCAAGCGGTTTGTCCGCTAATACTGGCAATGCTGTGCAAATGCGCGGAATTCGCATCGCGCTTCCTGTCCAGGGCGTCAAGGATGTCCAATGGCAACGCATGAGTGCGGATTGCGGAGCGGCCGTGATGTTCACCAGTTAGGACCGACTGGGGGAGATCCTCGCAAGGCGCCCCCAAGTCCCCAGAGGGAAGGGGCATTGTCGACAAAGTGACTTTGAGATGCTGTGAGGGCGCTGGGTAGCTTTATTTCTTCAAAAATGTGGGGCATCTTTTTCAATCTTGAACTGCGCGCAAAGGCAATTTCAAGATGATTCCCAGATTAATGAATTCTTTTCTGGCGAGACTCGTCGGCCTGTCGACCCGACAGAAACTTCGCTGCACTCTTGCGCCGGCTTTGGGCACCCCGCGCGCTTGCGGGAAACTGGGCCAGGCGGCTGACGCTTTGCGCGCGCGACAAACGGGGACGCCAACGGCGTCGCCAGCTCTCATCCACGTCGTATTCGTTCGGCATTCGTTCGCATCTACCGGCAGTTCTCATCCACCGGCAGCCCCGCCAGTCCTCTGGCAGAACCCGGGCCACTCTCCCCGAGGAGGCGGGGCTGGGAGGCGCCGGATTCCACCTCGCCGCCGTCGCATCCAGATCTCGTCCATTCCTCGGCATTCGTTCGCATCTGCGTGGCGCGCGGCCGAGCCCAGCCGAATGCGGATCGCGCGATCGCGCAGCACAGAGCTGCCCCCCCGCGGTTGACGCCCGCTCGCAGCTGCTGGCAAGCCCAGACCCCCGACGCCATGGCTTGTTCATGACATGAACCCCGAAGAGTCTGGGCCCACTCCCCCGGACCGGTTTTTCATCCCGAGCGGTTTTTTGACGGCCACGAGGCCTGGTAAAGGCCGCTGGAGGCCGAAAAAAGCTGAAACTCCCCGTCATGATCTTTGTTATGACCCGAGGGTGTCTGGGAGGGCAGCGGTACTGGTGCCAGCGACCGAGGATAACGACGTTTAAAACGAGTGGGCGTTTAGAACGAAGAATGGAACGAAACCGAACGTTCAAAACGAACGCTCAAAACGAAACCGGCGCCAAGCGAAAACGAAAAACGAAAGATGGCGCCACTCAGTGAGAAAACGAAGCGAAAAACAAAACGAACGTCGCAGACAACGCCGGCAGCAAAGCGAGCAAAGAAGCAAAGGCATGGAACGATGGCTGGGGCCAGGGCAGCACTGGCCGGGGGCTGGGGAGGGGGGAGAAGGCGAGGGGCGAGGTTCTGGCTTGGGCTAGAACCAGACAAAACGACAGAACGAAACAAAACGAAAAGCAAAACGAACAACGAAGTACAAAACACAACGACATAACAAAACAAACGAAACACAAAACGAAACACGAGTCGGGCTGCGGCGAGCACTACGGGGCCGGGGCTAGGGCGAGGTCCTATTTGAGGCTTGTGCGAACACCGACGAAAATGAAGCGAGAAACGAACTCGGGGTGCGGCGACGACGGCTGCTCCAGCGACTGTTGAGGTTCTGGGTGGGGTTCGAGCAGAACAGAACGAAAAACGAACTCGGCCTGCGGCTACGGCTGAGGGCTGGGCTAAGGCGGGGGGCGAGATTCTGGGTGGAGCCTGTGCCAACCAAAACGAACAACGAAACGAAGGACTACACGAATCTCGAGAAGCCGTGGCTGGGGCCGACGCAGAGGCTGGGGCCAAGGCTGCACGAGTGAAACAATTGAACTGTTTTGTTTTACACGCATGCTGACGATAACATGGGGGCGTACAGTATAAAACAACTCAAGGGTGACACGCGTCCCCCGAAAACTGTTAGAAAAATCCATTGTTTCAGTCGTACTCGTGACGCTAACGTGGGGCCATACAATGTGAGACAACATAAAAAGTTTCACGTGTCACCCCGAAAACCGCGTGAGAAAAAACAATTGCTTCACTCGAGTTCTGGACGCCAACATAGGGCCATACGGTGTGAAACATTACACAAGTGACGCGTATCACCCAGAAACCCGTGTTGTTTCAGTAGTATTCTGGACGCCGACATGGGGCCATAACAATGTGAAACAACGCGCGGATGACACGTGCCACCCCGAAAAACATGCGAAAAACCATTTGTTTGACTCGAGTTCTGGACGCCAGCATGAGACCCATACAATGTGAAACAAAACAAAGGTGACGCGTGCCACTCCGAAAACCGCGTGGGAACAACGAACGGTTTTGCTCATATTCTAGACGCGAACATGGGGCCACACAACGTGAACCAATACAAGGGTGACACGTGTCATCCTGAACACTGCGTGAGAAACAAAAACATTGTTTCACTAATATTCTGAATGCCGACATGAGGCGATACAAATCGGTACACTGTGACACAACACAAGGGTGACACGTGCCACCCCGAAAACTGTGCGGGAAACACGATAAGCTTCACTCCTGCGCTGGACACGAACATGGGGCCACGGGTTTCGGGGTGGCACGGGTCACCCCGAAAACCGTGCGAGCAAAAACGGCTGTTCCCCGCTCGTCTTCTGGACGCCGACACGAGGGCAACACAAAGTAAGCCACCACGAGGGTGACACGTGTCACCCCGAAAACCGTTTTGGAAAAAACAATTGTTCCACTCGTATTCTGGACGCCAACATGGGTCCATACACTGTGAAACAACAAAGGTAACACATGTCACCAAGAAGACCGTGTGAGAAAAACGAAGTGTTCCACTCAAGTTTTGGACGCCAACATGGGGCCATACAATGTGAGACAACACAAAGGATCACACGTGTCACCCCGGAGACAGCGTGAGAAAAACCAATGGCTTCACTAGTATTCTGGACGCCGACATGGGGCAATATCCCGTGAAACAACACAAAAGTGACACGCGTCACCTCGAAAACCGTGTACAACAAAAGGGTGGCACGTGTCACTCCGAAAACCGCGTGAGAAAACATGTGCCACTCCAGAACACCGAGACAACACCAAAATCAGAGTGTCACCACGAAAACCATGTGATAGAAACCAATGGCTTCACTAGTTTCCTGGACGCCAGCATGCGACCCATACACTGCGAAATGATGCAGGGGGGGACTCGTGCCACCCCGGGGCCTTTGCAAGAAAAGCTAAGCGTTCCACTCCTATGCCGGACACGAGCATGGGGCCACGGTCTTCGGGGTGACACAGAAACACCAACTGCTTCACTGATATTCGGGACGCCGACGTGGGGCCATCCCCCTTGAAATAACACAGGGGTGACACGCGTTCCCCCGAACAGTGAGAAAAGTCAATCGGTTCACTCACATGCTGGACGCCAGAACGGGGCCATACAATGTGAAACAACACTAAGGTGGCACGTGCCACCCCCAAAACCATGTAGGAGAAACAATTGTTTCACTCGTCTTCCGAACGCTAAAATGGGGCCATTCAGTGTGTAACAACACAAAGGTGACGCAGATCACCCCGAAAACAGTGTGAGAAAGACGAAGTGTTCCACTCGTATGCTGGACGCCAACATGGGGCCATACAATGTGAAACAACATATGGGTGACACGTGTCACCCCGAACACCGTGTTAGAAACACCAATTGTTTCACTCGAATTCTGGACGCCAGTATGGGGCCTTACATCGTGAAACAACACATGGGTGACACGCGTCACCCCGAAAACCGTGTGAGCAGAACCACTTGTGTCAGTCGAGTTCTGGACGCCAACATGGGGCCATACATGGTGACGCAGGTGTCACCAAGAAGACCGTGAGAGAAAAAACTATGTGTTCCACTCGGGATCCAGACGCCAACGTGAGACCATACACCGTGGAATAGCACAGGGGTGACAAGTGTAAATCCGAAAACGGCATGAAACAACCATTTGTTTCACTCGTATTTTCGACGCCAACATGGTGCCATACAGTGAGAAATAGCACAAGTGTGACACGAATCATCCCGACGAGCACGTGAGAAAAACAAACTGTGCCATGCCAACATGGGGCGATACAGAGTGAAACAGCACAAAAGTGACACATGTCACCCCGAAAACCGCATGAGAATAACCGACTGTTCCATTCGTGATTTGGACGTCAACATGGGACCGTAAGATTTGAAACAACACACAAATGACGTGTACCACCCCGAAAACCGTGTGAGAAAAACCAATTGCTTCACTAAAATCATGGACAACATGGGACCACACAATAAGAAATAACACAAAGATCACACGCGTCACCTCGAAAACCGTGAGAACAACACATTGCTCAACTCATATTCTGGACGCCAACATGGGGCCATACACCGTGAAACAACACAAGGGTGACAGGCGTCACCCCGAAAATCGCGTGAGAAAAAAAAACAATTGTTTCACTAGTATTCTGGAAGCCGACATAAGGTTATGCAATGCGAAACCACACAACGGTGCCACGTGTCACCCCGAATACCCTGAGAGAGAGAGCCATCATGGAGCCATTATGGCGCCATCATTGTTTCACTCGTATGCTGGGCGCCATCATGGAGCCACGCACTGTGAAACAACAAAAGGGTAACACGTACCAGCCCGAAAACCACATGGGAAAAACAAATTGTTGAAAACTACATTCTGGACGCCGACAGGGTAACACGTGCCACCCCAGAAACCGTGCGGAAAACAAAACAACAAGTGCTTCACTCGAATTCTGGACGCTAACATGGGACAATACAATGGGAAATCCCAAAAGGGTCACAGTGTTACCCCTGCGAATTTCTGGGGATCCGAGCACAGTTCCTTAAGGATGCCCTAGAGATTTCTCACAATCCGAACCCAGGTCCCTAGGAATTCCCCAAGCCTTCCGCACAAAACCGGACCCCTAAATCTCTAAGGATTCCCCATATCTGAACCCAACTCCCAAAGAATTCCGCAACGATTTCTAAGAATCTGAGCCCGGATCCTTGAGGATTCCCTGTGGACCCCCAAGGATCAGAGCACAGATCCGCAGGAATTCCTGACGGACCCGCTCAGATTCCTCGGGGCCACCATGTGGGTCAGATCCTTGAACGGGTCCGCATTCGAAATTCCCCAATCCCCAAGCGGGCCAGCTCCCCGTTTGAGCGGGTAAACGTCCAGATTCCGTTTTGGCCTGGCCCCCCATTTGAATGGGCAAACGTCCAGATCCCGCCGTTGGCCAGATCCCGCGTTTGGTCAGATCCCGCTTTTAGGTCAGATGCAGTTTCTGGCGTACCACCCCAAGTACACAACAAAACGAACAACGAAACAAACACCCAAAACAACGGCTGGGGCTGCGGCAGGGGCTGGGGCCCAAGCTGAAGCCCAAGCCAGGAGCGCAACAACAGCGGGGGAGGAAGCAGCGGAGCGAAAAACAAAACGAACGCCCAGAAAAACCATAGCCAGGGCGAGGTGCGAGATTCTGGCTAAGACTTGAAGAACACATGAAACAGGAAACGAAACGGAACGCACGCCCAGAACTCTGGATGGGGCTGCGGCAGAGGCTGGGGTTAGGTCGGGCGTGTCCCCCTGCAGGCGGATTTTGGGCGATTATGAATACCAAGAATCCAAGAAAACAAAAAAAAACGCTACCGAGGAACCACACATACTTATTTCATGCCATGCGTGTTCACATCCAATGCCACATCGCGTTTCCACATCGTCCACAGTCCCTCGCACTAGCTGTCATAACCCGCGCCAGACGAACCACACTGACAAGCCGGACTGACAAGACCAGCCAGACCAGCCATATCAGCAATCCCAGCCATACCCAGCCAGGTCAATGAACCAGACCAGCCGAACAAACAAATTAGTCACACCGACAACCGCAGCCAGAACAAGCCAGACTACCAACCACACCAAACAGATCAGACCAACCATGCCAGACCTGACCAGACCTGACCAGACCAACCAGACCACACCCACCCATTCAGCCAGTGCGTTCTTGAGCTTCACGCACGGAGGCGGCAGCTGACCACTAGCATTTTTGGGCGGCATTGCTGCTGCGAGCAGGTCGGGCGGCTGTTGCGCGCCAGTGGGAGCACAAGCAAACTTGCGTAGCAGCGCAGTAGTGCCGCGCCGGCTTGGGCCACGATATTTACGGATCAGGGCAGTGCCGTTGATAATTACCGCACTTAGAAACCATGCATCCGCACCCCCAGTAGTGTCCAGAAACCGCCACGCCTGCGACAATAGGCTTTGCGGCAGTGTCGTGGATAGCGGCCGCGGCCAGTGACCACCCACTGCGCACCCCCTGTGGCGTCGAGAAACTACCACGCCTGATCGATTTTGCGACAATGTGGTGGGCAGGAGCCGGACCAGAGACCACTCCCAGCGCACCCCCTCTGGTGTCGAGAAATTGCCGCGCCTGCCAGGCTTTTCGACATTGTCGTGGATAGCGGCCGCGGTGAGAGACCACCCACTGCGCACCCCCTCTGGTGTCGTGAAATTCCCGCGCCTGCTACGCTTCTCGACAGTGTCGTGGATACCAGCCGCGGTGAGAGACCACCCCCTGCGCACCCCCTCTGGAGTCGAGAAATTGCCGCGCCTGCCAGGCTGATCGACAGTGTCGTGGATAGCGGCCGCGCGGTGAGAGACCATCCCCTGCGCATCTCCTCTGGTGTCGAGAAATTGCCGCGTCTGCTAGCCTTTTCGACAGCGTCGTGGATAGCGGCCGCGGTGAGAGACCACCCCCTGCGCACACCCTCTGGTGACGAGAAATTGCTGCGCCTGCCAAGCTTTTCGACATTGTCGTGGATAGCGGCCGCGGTGAGAGACCACCTCCTGCGCACCCCCTCTGGCGTCGAGAAATTGCCGCGCCTGCTAGGCTTCTCGACAGTGTCGTGGATACCGGCCGCGGTGAGAGACCACCCCCTGCGCACCCCCTCTGGCGTCGAGAAATTGCCGCGCCTGCCAGGCTGATCGACAGTGTCGTGGATAGCGGCCGCGCGGTGAGAGACCACCCCCTGCGCACACCCTCTGGTGTCGAGAAATTGCCGCGCCTGCTAGCTTGTCGACATTGTCGTGGACCCCCTGCGCACACCCCCTGGTGACGAGAAATTGCTGCGCCTGCCAAGCTTTTCGACATTGTCGTGGATAGCGGCCGCGGTGAGAGACCACCTCCTGCGCACCCCCTCTGGCGTCGAGAAATTGCCGCGCCTGCTAGGCTTCTCGACAGTGTCGTGGATAGCGGCCGCGGTGAGAGACCACCCCTTGCGCACCCCCTCTGGTGTCGAGAAATTGCCGCGCCTGCTGAGCTCTTCGAGATTGTCGTGGATAGCGGCCGCGGTGAGACCACCCCCTGCGCACCACCTCTGGTGTCGAGAAATTGCCGCGCCTGCCAGGCTTTTCGACATTGTCGTGGATAGCGGCTGCGGTGAGAGACCACCCCCTGCGCACCCCTCTGGCGTCAAGAAATTGCCACGCCAGCGCTGTGCTGTGCTGTGCTGTGCTGCGCAGCTTGTGTGTGTGTGTGTGTGTGCTGTGTGTGTTGTGATGTGTGCTTGTGTGCTGTGCTATGCTGAGCTGTGCTCTGCTGTGCTGCGCTGCTTGTGTGCGTGCGTGCGTGCGTGCGTGCGTGCGTGCGTGCGTGTGTGTGTGTGTGTGTGTGTGTGCGTGTGTGCGCTGTGTGTTGTGATGTGTGTGTGCGTTGTGTGAGTTGTGTGTGTCTATGTGTATTGTGTGCTGTGCTGTGCTGTGCTGCGCTGTGCTGTGCTGTGCTGCGCTGTGCTGCGCTGTGCTACGCTGTGATGTGCTGTGTGAAGGGAGAGGGAGGAGGAAGGTGGGGTGTGAGAGCCGCGGGTGCGACGAGGCAGGGAAGAAAACCAGAACCCCACTAAGCATGTGGGGGAACAAAAACATCAATACATACTTTAAAAATAGTCCTCTGACTATTTTATGACTATTCCTCCTGTAGAGGGACATGCCGGACTTAAACGTACGCCCAAACTTATGGATGGGGCTATGGCAAAGGCTGGGGCCCGCCCGGGATGAAGCTCGGGCCAGGAGTGCAACAAAACCGCGGAAGCAACAAAGACGAAGCGAAAAGCGAAACGAACGTCCAAAAGCTCTGGCGAAGGCGAGGGGCGAAACTATAGCTGGGTCTTGGGCCACCGAAAACGAAGAACAACATCAACAACGAAACGAACAACGGAACGACACATCAAGTGATACAATCCCTATGAAGCGCAATCAGAAAATCGAAAGGCAACGCCGGTGTGGGGCAAAACGCACGACGAAACGAAGCGCGCAGTGAACGGAACAAACAAACGAAAAACGAACCACAACCTACGAAAAACGGAACGCGCAACAAAACAACGTCTAAGCTTCAAACGCGTTTACAACGGAAACGAACATCACGACGGAAGAAAAACGAAGCACGAAACGAAAAACGAACGTGGGCCCAAACCAAGCTAAACAGCGTTGTGCGCGGTCCTTGTCGGTACCTCTTCCATCCTCTGCACCTCCTCCAGGCGGCCAGCCACCGCGGCCGCCCTGGCCTCGTCCGCCGCCGCCTCCACCGCCGCCAAGAGGCCCTGGCGCCCCGCCTCACGCGTAGCCTCCGCGTCCTCGGGAGAGCGCAGCATCGCATCGACAGGTTGGATCGGCTCTCGAAAGCTTTGCGAGCGGAGCTGGCCATCGAAGGTGGCTAAGGATGGGCCGAAGATGCAAGGATGCAGGCCAAAACTGTTAGTAAGGATGCGCGATAAAGATGCAAGCCCCTCGGACGCCCACGTTGAAGCTTTTTCGAGAGCGGCGGGCCATCGAAAGCAGTTAAGGATGGACCAAATAGGCACGAATGCAAGGGTGCCCTTGGGAAGGTTGCCCACCCTTACCATCGGTTTCGACTGCAGGTCGGATCGGCTATCGAAATGAATCGGGCCGGCGGAAATCGGAAATCGAGGGAGGGCGACTCGGCGGAAATCGGCAGTCTCGTGAGGCCTCCCTTGGAAAGACCGAGGCCCACATCGGAACCCCACGCCGAGCCGAATCGGAGCCCGAACCGAGCGAGATCGGATCGCGTCGAGTCGGAGGGGGCGAGACTAGCCCTGCGTCCTCCGCCAGCGCGTCGCCCATGGGCCCCAGCGCTCGCGCCACGGCGCCCGCGCCGCCCGGCGCGCCCGCCATCGCACGCGGCAGGTACGCCAGCGCGGTGAGCGGGCCCAGCTGCGGGCCCGAGGCCACGAGCTCGTCCATCAGCGCCTCCAGCCTCTCCTGGGAGGGCGCCACCTACGGTCGAGCTCGAGTAGGAGGTCAACCTGGCCAAATGAAGAATACCCATGTGTCCTGCGTTTCGCGACCCATTCCTTCTACATTCTTACAGCAACGTGGCCCTAGGAAGGTCGTGTGTCCTCCCGCGTGCATTCTTCAATCAAGCTCGACTGTGTACACCGACGCTGGTCTTGGCCAGGCCCGCTCCCAGCTCAAAATCGGTGCATACACCCACCTGGTTTGGCCAGGAAGAAATATGGGCGACGAAGAGAAGAAGGTTTTGAGCATCGTACATAGCGACCTTACGCCGCAGCTTCCGCGGGGGGGGGGCAGCGCTGCACGACACGTTGGGAACGAGGGCGCTTGCGCGCGACCTTACGCGGGCAACTTGCACACGAACGTCCGCACAGTCGAGCCCGCTTCTCGTTGCGTCGATCACATGACGCCGATCCTGGGCTCATGCCGATCCTGGCCGGGACTGGTGCGTGTGTGTGTGTGTGTGTGTGTGTGCGTGTGTGTCAGGAAAGGCCGAGTCCATACTGAACAATTCCACACGGAGCGTTCGGTCTCCGTCTGGGCTTACTCCGTCTGGACTTAGCCTCTACTGAGCTAGGGCTCCCAACTTCGCGCTTCGCGCTCCGCGAAGCGCGAAAAACTTCGTGCTCTCGCGCCGCCCCCCTAAAGGGAGAAAAGGAAGACAAGGAGGAGGGGGAGAAGGAACGAGGACCGCGAAGCGCGAATAACTTCGCGCCCTCGTGGGAGCCCTGAACTTAGCTTCTCCTGAGTGTGCAGCTTGGCGCCCTCCGATATCCGGCGCCGCCGCGGCCATCGCCTCCGCCAGCCCCTGCGCCGCGCCCTCCAGCTCGGCGCCCTCGACGGCGGCGCCGCGCAGGCGGGCCAGCAGCGAGCCTGACCAGCCAGCCTCGGGGGAAACCCACAACAGAGGCCTCCAGGATGGGGCTCCTCCTCCTCCTCCTCCTCCTCCTCTTCTTCTTCTTCTTCTTCTTCTGATTATTATTATCATTATTATTCGTAGTCTTCTTATCATTCCTCTTCTTCTTATTAGGATGCTGAGTACTAGTATGACTATGATTATTCTTATTGTTAGTGTTATTAATATTATTGTTCTTATGGTTCGTCTTCTTCTTATTGTTATTACTAACATAATAATTATTACTGTTACTATGTTTATTAGTATCATTCGTACTAGTATTATTCGTATTAGTATTCGTTGTCTTCCTCCTCCTCCTCTCCTCCCCCTCCTCCTCCTCCCCTCCTCCTCCTCCTCCTCCTCCTCCTCCCTCCTCCTCCTCCTTCCCTCCTTCCTCCCTCCTCCTCCTTCCTCCTTCCTCCTTCCTCCTTCCTCCCTCCTTCCTCCTTCCTCCTTCCTCCTTCCTCCTCCTCCTCCTCCTCCTCCTCTTCCTCCCTGGGGTCAGAGTGGGTGGGGTCGGGGGATCGCGCCACATCGCCGATGCATCGCCGATGCAACAGAACAGCGATGTCAGCGACGTCGACGTGTAGAAAATAATCGAATCCCAATCGAGCCGCATAGGCAATGTATCGGCGATGCAGCGGTGACGCAACGCGATCCTTCAAACCCATCTCCCGTGACCCCATGTGGGAGGCCCCCACCAGGGTGCCACCAAGACACCCCAAACCCCTCGAGGCTTGAACAAAGCAATGCGTACATGTTTTGTCTTGTTGCTACTCTCGGTTCGTGGGGGCCCTCGCCAGGCCCTGTGGCCCTCAAACAACGACTCGGGATGAAAAGCCAGTCCCGGGGAGGAGGAGGAGGAGGAGGAGGAGGAGGAGGAGGAGGAGGAGGAGGAGGATTCGATTGATCACGTCTGTGGTGCAAATCAGGGGCTAGCAGGCGGCAAGCATCAAATCAGAAACATTCACTGGCTGCCACCGCTGGCAAGGCCAACGTCACAAGATCAGGTGGCGGTTAATACATCAAACCAGCAGCTGGGAGACAGGTATGAACTCACCAATGACAACATGAGTGCCCTTGGCGTGCGAGGGATGCTTACCTCCCGCGCTCGCATGAAATTAGACTTGAAGTGGTCGCTGTGGGGCTCGGGTGGTGGGAGCGGGGGTTCGCAGATAGAGCAGGGAGCGCGGGGTGAGCCTGCCTGCAAGCAGGCGTGGGTAGGGGAGGGCCCGCAGGCAGCGCCCCAGGCAGACTCGACAGGCCCACCCGGACGGCCTCCACACCCAGCTGTGGCCTCCCACCGTGAGACCAGCGGGCACGGCAGGGTCGATATCAGGAGGAGGAGGAGGAGGAGGAGGAGGAGGAGCACGAGGAGGAGGAGGAGGAGGAGGAGGAGGAGGAGGAGGAGGAGGAAGAGAACCCCCGACGTCGTGATTTTTTCACAACGTAGACCCGCAGAGATCTGGACCCCTTCCTCGGGACCGGTTTCTCATCCGGAATTATCTTTTGACGGCCCCGAGGCCCAATAAGGGCCCCCAGAGGCCGAAAATTGCGAAAAGCCTCCCGTCGTGATTGTTGTCGCAACTCGAGGAGGTCTGGGGGAGGGGCAGGGGCGGGGGGGAGGGGGGAAACGGAGGGCCCTGCAAGCGCGCCCAAAGCCTCGCGGCCAGCTGCTGCACCAGCACGGGCTCTCCCCGTAGCTGTCTCCCCCTCGGCCGACCGCTCCTTCGGCGGAGGGGGAGCCAGAGAGCTTCCAGCGCAGCAGTGCCTTGCATGCGAATTTCAGGTACAGTGGAGGCCAGTCCACAAGAAACCTTCCACAAGAAACCCAACCCTGAGAACCCATGACGTCTATTCATTTTTGGCGTGGGGGCGTAACGCTTTTCATCGCAAAACCATCGAAATCCAAGAAACCCAGGGGCACCCTGGAGGCAAGCAGGGTGTTTCTTGGCATGGCCCCCACTGTACTGGGCCAAAGCAGCACACTCACGAGAATACTCGTCAAGCTCAGCAGCCGAGGGGCGCGAATGCGAAAACGCCACCGATTTGGCAGATAAATCTGCCCACGGGTTTTTACTTTAGCCTGCTTTAACTCCTCGCTGTAGGGAGCGAGGCTGTCCAAATCTACATGGGCGTTCACTTCACAACCTCGCAGCTGCTCACTCGGCCCGGGCAAGCTATCAATCCCAAGAAGCTTCACTCCTGCAAAGTAAGACCTTCGATTGAAGACCGCTTCAGGAGCCTGCCTCTCCTGGCTATGGAGATCCCTGACCGGCGTTTCAGCTTCGCCCTCGCAGCCAGGCGGGATGCCCAGTCCGTCTTCAGCATCACAAGAAAGAAAAGGCCCACACCTGATGGGCAGCGAACCGAGCACGTCCTCCAGCCAGCTGATCAGCAAGCCGACCGTCTTGAGAAAGCGGGGTCTCTGGGACAAGCGGGAAGGCCGGAGCGGAAATAGAGGTACCTACCTCGCTTGATGCGTACCCCCATGCTCTACCCTTAGTTTCCGCAGGGGAAGGCCAGGATTGGTGACGGTGCCGATCTTGTGCCCCGTCGCCAAATATAAATGAGCAACCATGGATCGAGTTGCTCAGCGGTGAGCCAGACCCGCAGGGGGCCTCCGCGACAAACCTGGAGGGAGGACGAGGGAGGGGAGGAGGAGGGAGGACGAGGGAGGGGAGGCAGGGAGGGAGGCAGCGAGGAGGCAGGGAGGGAGGGAGGACGACGGAGGGAAGGAGGCAGCGGCATCGGTGCGGGCACCCTTGGCTCCCCGGAACCTCGCCGTCCTCGCCGCCCTCGCCCTGCAGCGACGCCAGCACGCCCACGGCGGTCGCGGCGGCGTCGCGCACGGCAGGCGTGGGATCGGCGATGAGCACCGAGAGCTGCGCCTCAGGGACGACGACGACGACGACGACGACGACGACGACGACGACGCGCTAAGCTGGGCTGCGTTCAGGCAGATTCCGAGGTAGTCGCGGCTGTCTCCAGCAGGCCCCCAGAGCAGTCCGGGGCGGTCTCGCCACCTCAGCGCCGCATCTGGCGGGGCCCCTGGAGCGCTCCGCGCCCCAAGGCTGTGGTGTCGAGACCGCCCTGGACTACTCTGGGGGCCTGTTGAGGCCAGCCGAACTACCCCGGGGGGCTGTATGCGACCCCGAGCTTGAGCACGGCGACGACGAGCGACAGACGACGACGACGACGACGACGACGACGACGACGACGACGACGACGACGACGACGACGACGACGACGACGCACGACGACGCACGACGACGACGCACGACGACAGCGGTGGCAGCGACGGTGGCGATGGGCGCCTGGAACGACTCGATGTACGGGCCGAGCTCGTCCGACCCGCCCTCCGCGAACTGCGCAAGCGTCCTGACAAAGTTCAGCCCCTTTTTGCGCAGCTCGCCGTCGCCGCGCGCGAGGGCCCTCGCCACGACGGGGCACACCAGGGCGCAGCAGGAGCCGTCGAGCGGCGTGGTGTACACCGCGCCGAGCAGCCCGTCGAGGGCCCTGGTGACGAGGCCCTCGGAGGGATCGCAGAGCGCGGCGATCAGCGCTGGCACCTGCTGGCGGAGGCGGAGGAGGAGGAGGAGGAGGAGGAGGAGGAGGAGGAGGAGGGGGAGGAGGAGGAGGAGGAGGAGGAGGAGGAGGAGGAGGAGGAGGAGGGGAAGGAGGGGGAGGAGGAGGAGGAGGAGGAGGAGGAGGAGGAGGAGGAGGAGGAGGAAGAGGAGGAGGAGGAGGGGGAGGAGGTGGACAGCTGGGTGGGAGGCGAACCAAGCGCCCTGCGGAGAGCGCAGGGGGCCTCCTCGGAAGGCGCGAGGGTTTCCGAGAGGCCCCCCCGCCTTCTCAGAATGAAGGACTCCAAGGACACACGCACACAGATATGTGTATATATATATATATATATATACACAGATCCCAGGATACCCCATATTTTCCCATATTTTCTGTGCTTTCGTCTCCCCCCCACTTCCCATATGTTCCCCTATTCTCGTAGGAATCGACGATAAATGGTGTCAGTGTGTTTTTTCCCCTCCTGATTCTGAGAGGCCCCCCTGCCTTCTCAGAAGGCCGCCCCGCTCTCGCCGCGATCCCTACAACGTCGCTCCAGCCCCCTTCTCTGGGTCGCCTACCTTCGCGCATCTCGCCTTGCGATCAAGATCACATCTCTTGAAACCACGTCACGCGCGTTGTGTGGGCGGGTGGGTCGCGCTGGCACTGGCGCGAAGATAGGCGCGCATTACGCGCTGACCTTCGCGCCCGCGCGCCGCCACCCCCCTTCTCAGAGCGGGGCAACCGCTGTGGCCCAGGCCGCGGCGCGCGAGGCACGATCGCCTCCGCGCCCCCGCGGGTGATTTAGTTTCTGCAAGCATCGGTTAACCGATCCCTATCCCCACTGGCGTGGCCTTGGCCCCACTGGCCGCCTCACACACTCTGGTGCCTGTCCCTTCAGGTTTCGCGGGGCGTATCCTTATCTGGGAGGGTGGGCTGGTGGTGTCGAGATACACCACGGACCAGGGCCCAGTGGGGATATGGGGACAGGCCCGACGATGCCGATCCCTGTGCGCCGCCCAGGCCTGCGGGCGAACGTCCCGGTGGCCAATGGCCTCCCCGATCAGCTCCAGCACCTGCCTGGCGGCGTCGCGGATCTCCGACCTGGCGCCCGCCGCGGCCTCGCAGAGCGCCGGCACGGCCTTCGGCATCACGGCCGCCAGGCGCTTCGGGGCGTTCGCGACGAGCTCCGAGACGATGGGCTTCAGGAGCTCGATCGCCTGGAGGAAGAGCAAGCAGGCACTCCACGAGCATCAGCTTTCGGGGCTCCACGCGGCATTCTTGGGTCGGCACTGACCCCCTGCCTGACGCGCGGAGCGCGCCAGGAGCGGCGCCGGGGGCGGCGCCAGGAAATTCAGCGCCGACCCAAGGAATCTGCGCGGAGCTCCGAAAGTTTGTGCTTGTGCAGCTGTTTCTCCTTCGATCGCCGACAGCTGCGTGCGCCAAGTCTTGCTCTTTGTGGAGGGAAGAAGAACGAAGACCATGACCAAGACGCCGCGTGATGTTGTCGATGCCGATCTTGGTCATGGTCCATGTCGGCCGTCGCCGATTCGTGAGGATGATCAACGTAGTGTCGTTGACCAAGTTCGACGGTGACCAAGATAGGAACGAAGTTTCCGCGTCCAGTCTTAGTCATGGTCTCCGTTTTCTTTCCCTCCATCTTGAGCCCGTCCAGCACGGGGTTCACCAGCAGCCTCATGCCGCCGCCGCTGACCTGCGACACCACGCGGCCCGCGGCCCGCCTGCCCGCGAGCTGCACCTCCCGCGCGGAGTCGGAGCAGCACGCCAGGAGCAGCGGCATGGCTGGAGGAAAAATGAACGGCATGAGCATACACGTTTGGAGGTCCGCGGGGATTTCTGGGATCTGCGCTGGACCTCCACTCCCAGAGCGCGCGCGCCAGGGGAGGCGCAGCCGGGGGCGTCCACTGCAGATCCAAGGAAGCCGCGCGGACCGTCGAAAGTTTATCTTCGTGCCGCTTTCTCTTCTTCGAATGGTGCTCAGCGCGTAAGGCTCGAACGCCTTGCCGAGGACCTCCGCCAGCGCCTCCAGGCACATGACCCCGCCCTGCCGGTGCCCCGCGCAGCTCTTGCCCTCCTTCGCCACCAGCTCCCTCACCTCCCGAGGGGAGAAGCATACTGAGCATGACCAACATGTCGCTGGATCTTGTCAAGCCCATCGTGGTCATGGTCCATGCCGACCGTCGCCAATTCGCGAGGATGATCCACGAATTGACGCTGACCAAGATAGACGGTGACCATGATCGACACGACGTTTCCGCGTTCAATCTTGGTCATGGTCTCCGTTGTCTTCCTCTCCAACCTCGGAACAGCGTGAGTTGAGACAGCAGAAGCTCCAAATCGGTCATCGGGCACCTCCCGTGGTCCAGAAACAACAAGTTAACGGAGCTGCGTCTGGCCGTGGCGACGAGGCCCCCCCCCCCCGAAGGCCAACTAACTACCGTTGTCTCGACTCGCCCTCCTCTGACTGGCACTTTATCCAGTCTCGATGAGACATTTTTTTTTTGTTGTTTTTAGGGTCTGGCGATAACCCGGGTTCTCGGACTTGCCCCCCCCCCTCCCCCCCCCAGGATAACCTAACCTTGCCGGTTGTGCAGGTCCGGGATGGGGGGGCGCGGGCACATGCACGGCGACCCACAGCGCGAAAGTTAGGTTATTGGCCGGCCCCCTCCTCCCCACCCCGGATAACCCGAGTTATCGCCGATTCAAAAAAACGGTCTCCAGAGATACCGATACCGCTGCTCCCAAGACCTCTCCAGACGTGCATCCTGATTGGCATGTCAAGGCGACTCCAGCCGTGGCGGTCAGGGAAGGGCACAGAGAAGCCAGAAACCGTGCAAGGTGGGAATCTCATTAAAGTGGAAGTGGTCGGAGCTGTAAAGACTGGCACTAGGTCGGGCCTGTCCCCCTAATACCCCCCAAATACCCCCAAAATGCCCCAACATGGTCAACAAATCGTACCCAGACTATTTTTTGACTATTTCTGAACGTTCCTCCTGTCGAGGGACAGGCTCGACTCAAGACTGGCAGGGGCTGAGACGAGCCCGCAACGGCCTCGACGAGGGCGCCAGGGCTGGAACCAAGTAGAGAGAAGCTGGCCAGGCCAGGCAAACTATCGCTGTCTCAACTAGGGGCCTCCCGAATGGGGTCCGAGTAGACAGGGTCGGAGGATCGCGCCGCATCGCCAATGCATCGCCGATGCATCGGCGACGTCGGCGATGCATCGGCGCCGATGGCGTGGAGAAAATCGGGCTCCACATCGAGCCGATCGCCGATGCACCGGCGATGCAGCGCCATCCTCGGACTCGATCCGCTCGGGCCCCACCCGGGAGGCTCAAATCCACCCGCCCTCCTCTGACTTGGACGCCCGAGCTGTATGGGGTAACTCCAGCCTGGGGTTAACCCTGGTTTGGGCGCCCGACGCGCGAGCCAGGAGTTACCCGTGACCACCCCCAGCCCCGGTGCTTCGGGATGGCTGGACGCTCGAATTCTCCCGGACAGCTCTGGTCAGGGGCAACTCTTGTTGGGGCCCCCGAGGCACGAATCAGGAGCTACTCGAAATCCCTTAACAATCGTCCCCCGGGTCCGGTTTTTAAGGCGTCTTTTTTAGAATCGGGGGAGTCTGGTTTATCAGGGCGGCTTCTTTAAACCAAAGTGGGGGGGGGGGGGCGTCCGGAATATGAAAGCCCCCCGTTGACGGGGAGGTCCGGAAAATTAGCTTGCCGTTGAAGGGGGGGTCCGGCTTTTAGGGGGGGGGTCGATTATTAAGGGATAGTCCAATGATACCGAAATGCCCCCCCCCAAAAAAAAATGTTCACCAGACTATTTGTTTTGACTAGTCTTGAGTATTCCTCCTGTAGAGGGACGTGCCCGACTTAAGAGTACCCCTGACCACCCCCCGTCCTGATGATTCTGGGCTCTGACCTTGTCGGTGTCCCCCGCCCTGGCGTGCGGAGCGCGCCAGGGGCGGCGGCGCCAAAGGCGCCGCTACGGGGCCCCAGCGACGATCCGAGAAATCAGCGCGGAGCGCTGGAGAATACAGCAGGAGCTCTGCCACAATAAGTCTTCCAGAAGAAACCCAACCCTGAGAACCCAGGGCGTCCATTGGCTTTCGGTGTGGGAACGGCACGCCTTCCACCGCAAGACCATCGAAAACCAAGAAACCCAGGGAACCCGGAAGGCGAGCAGGGTGTTTCTTGGCATGGGCTCCCACTGTAACGGTTATGCAATTCTCGCCGACTTCGACGAGCACCGATAGATCGGGAATGGGCCCCCGATGGTGGAGCTGCATGTTCCTGGGCGGATTGGGCTATCTGGCCCTTATCGGCGATCAATGGGCGATTGGGAGTCGATGCATCCTCCATTCAGCCTATCCCCACCTCCAACGCAGGAGAGCCCAGAATCGAATCGATACGTCGGATCGGCGATCGAAATAAATCGGATCGGCGGAATTCGGCAGCCGAGTTGGGAAAGGTCGAATCGGCGGAAATCGGCGGAATCCAGAGTCGAATCGGAGGAATCGAAACGAGCCCTGCCAACGTCCGCCCCTGGCTTTCGGGTCACAATTCCGCTCTGCTCGGAACAGTCTGGGCAGGTCCGGAACGCCCTCGGCGAGGCGCAGCTGCTGGAGCGCACCCCGAGGCTGGAAACCGCCGAGAACCGACGAAAACGTCCGACGGCCGCCGAGAAATGGCGAGATGCCAACGACAATCCGCGGCCCCAAGAGGTCCCGGCCGCTTCCCTGGGAATCATTTTCCGTCCCGCCCCTGCTTCTGGTGGTCCTGGGGCCCGAGCACCGGCCCCAGAGGCTGACATCGAGGAATCACATCGGGCTCGGAAGCCTCAGCAAAACTTCAGAGCGAGAGCCCCGACCTCCGAGAGCGAGCCTATCCCCCCTCGGATCGCCCGCTCCATGACGCCGAACTTCCGCATGGCGCCCGCGCCTCCGGCCGCCTGCACCAGGGATCGACCCAAGCAGTGCTCTTCGTTCTCGTGCTAGCCCTCGTTGTCCCTCGCTCTGTGCTCGACCCGCCCGTCTGCTGCAGAACGAGATCGAAACGACAACCGCCCGAAGAAATCGCCAAAGCACCGCTCACGTCGAGCCCTGGCCTGCACCACCGCGGCCACGCCGAGGGCGCCGCCGCGGCGCACGGGCTCCTGCGCGGCGCCGAGCGCCTCCGCGAACACCCGGTGCCCCTCCGCGGTGGCCGCCTCGTCCCCAGAGAGCAGCGGCACGAGCGCGGCGGCCAGGCGGCGCTGCACGGCCTCTGCGTTGTTTGCGCGATGGTCGAGGAGGAGGAGAAAAAAGAGCAGGAGGAGGAGGAGGAGGAGGAGGAGCAGGAGAAGGAGGAGAGGAGGAGGAGGAGGAGGAGGAGGAGGAGGAGGAGGAGGAAGGAAAAGGGAGGGAGGAGGAGGAAGGACGAGGGAGAGAGAGGAAGGAGGAGGGAGGGAGGAGGAGGAGGAGGAGGAGGAGGAGGAGGAGGAGGAGGAGGAGGAGGAGGAGGAGGAGGAGGAGGAGGAGGAGGAGGGAGGAGGAGGGAGGAGGAGGAGGAGGAGGAGCGGCAGGAAAAGGAAGTAAGAGACCCCGCGGCCCCAGAGGAGGTCCCGACCACCTCCCCTGGTTGCGTGATGATCGGCCCCTAAAAATTAGCCTAGCGAAGGACCCAACCATATGCAATTGTGAACACCGCGATTGTGGATCTCATCTTCGCTCGCGCTCCCTATGGGGCCACGAACCGTGTGAGGGGGCGTGCCGACATGCGTGGCGGGGTCCCCAATACGAACAAAGACGATCGCTCTGAGTGCGCGAGACTGAGACCGGGTCAGTCTGAGCGCGAGCAAATCTGATTGTGAATGTGTCTGCGTGCGAATCAGTCTACGTGCATCAATGTCGACGCCCATGTCGGCACGCCCCTCACGAGGATCGCGCCCGCTTCCTTCCCCTTCTTTTTCTGCCTCTTTGCCCGTGCACGCCGATGTCCATGGCTGCGGGCGCGGCGCCGCACTGAGTCCCCGCGACGCACGCTGGTCGCCTCGAAGGGGTCCCGGCGACGCGCGCGGGTCGCCCGCTGCGCGGAGCAGAGAGCTGGCTGGGTGATAGCGGGCAAGGGGCAGAGCGGCGCCGCCATGGGAG